AACACAGGACTCATGGTAGCGTTCACCTTTTCTTCTCCGAACAATCGATTTTTCAGATCTCCCAAACAGTCGGAAGGGAGCTTCAACAGAGAAAATAACTTTGCACCAGTCTTCTGCTGTCCAATCCTTGTACTTCCTGCAGAATTTCAGTCTGTCCTTGGAAGTTTTTCTTGGAGAGAAGTGGCTTCTTTGCTGCCCTTCTTGACACCAGGCCGTTGTCCAAAAGTCTTGGCCTCACTGTGCGTGCAGATGCTCTCACACCAACCTGGTTTCATTCCTGAGCAAGCTCTGCACTGCTGGTGACATGATTCCATAGCTGACTCATCAGGAGGAGACGATCCTGGCGCTTGCTGGACACTCTGTCCTGAAGACTTCTTCACTGCAGTTGAACCTCTCTCCTTGAAGTTCTTGATGATCCGGTAAATGGTTCTTTCAGGTGCAATATTCTTTGTAGCAATTTCCTTGTATATGAGGCCATTTTGATGCAAAGCGATGATGGCTGCACGTGTTTTTTTGGAGGTAACCATTGCTAACAAGAACACAGTGATTGTTTTTATCTCCTTTTATAGCAGTCAGTCTGCTCTTACAATCTAATTAGTATGATAATGATTTTACCTGACTAGTACTCATTCACACTTTCACATGTGCTGCTGATATGATAGTCAACTAATGTTAGCTGGTCATTTTGTGTCAGGATCAAAAAACAGCAAAATTGGTTTTTTTGTGAAAAGTTTATTTTTTTGGGCCAATGAAGCTTTTAGCGATTATTTAAATTGCATCTGAGCACTCTACACAATCTAGAAACAATGTGATTGAACACCACAACAGCTTAAGCAGCAAACTTTGCAAAACACAAAATTTGTCACTGCCAAAACTTTTGGCCATGACTGTAAGATACTTTATAATAGAACAATATTATGGGCAGTTACAGCCAACTTGATTGTCTGGAAATATACAACAATCATTGAAACGGTTCATATTCTTCTCAGTTATGTTCTACTGTATCACAGTTCATGGTTGTCACCTCAAATTTGTTTTCATATCTAAACAAATACTAAAGGAACAATTAGTGTCCTCAATGTCACACAAGGTCCATTTTGAAAGTCACTGCTTGCTTTGAGGAGATATGGAGCCATGTTTCAGTTCATGAAGTTTCACTTGTCTTTCTGTAGGAAAAAGAAAACCTCCTCGTTGTGATTTTGGATGGAAAGCAGTTCACCCTCTCTTGTCCCTTTCTTCACCACCTGATTCCCTTTCTTCCTTACCTTCATTCTCATCCATACCATAAATCACTGCCACCTGCTTACATTTATCCCATATATCCCCTTCATCCAGCACCTCTTTTTGATGCTCCTAAACCTTCTGTTCAAACACATCTGTCTCTACCTGTGGATCAAATACCACAAACACATGAAGAGACCGTACCTCAATACCCAATGATACACCCTCCACAATATTCACCGTACCCTGTATCCTGTCCCCCTTATCCTGAGAGATTCTGTTCTCAGTACCCCATGCCATACCATCATCCCCCATATCATCAGCCAGCCATGACCACTGCTTCACAACCAACCATCCAGCCAATGCCATGGACATCATTTCCTCAGCCTACATACAATCCTCTGACCCCTCTGGTTATGCAAAAGACCCCACTCCCCGTGTTTCCTACGATTCCCTCTTCACAACCCCCCAAGATGTCTCCGTCTCTTAATTGCATGAGGAATAAAATAATGGCAACTTTGCCCTCGGCAAGAGCGGACTCCATTAAAGTCAAAGGTGAGCTATAGCAGTAATAATATTTCACAATATTACTTTTTTTTTTTTTTTGCCTTTTTTTGAGGAGATATGAAGCCGTTCTTTAAGCATAAGGGACTTATTTCAAAAATATAAACAATCTTAATTTTTCCGGTAGTGTAGTTTATTTGCACATATACGAATCAAAACTTTTGTTGTTTTTTGCTCTTCTGTGGTGGTAATATTTGAAGATACGGAGACAAATACCTGGATCTCCATTGCATCTGTCCCAGCAGCCTGTAATTACACACTCCACTCCAGAGGTGGCAGTGTTGTGCTCTCTTCACCACTGCCTTCCTGCCACACAAAAAAAATGGTGAGCCCTCAGGGTGGAAAATTCAGCACGTTCCAATATGTTATTGAATAAGTCAGTTATTGAATTAAAATAGAATAATAAACCTTAATTCAAAATTGGAATTTAGTTTGTTTATCATGTATGACTCACTCTTACTGCTTTTGTTTCTTTTCTCTTTTTACCTCTTCAGTCCTCCACAGTGATCTCTCTGTCTGTCAGGTTCTGGGATCTCTCTCAACTGCGATACCGAACCCTACAGCTTCAGTGTCAGTATATTGAAGATATAGATACACAACCATTACACCAAATCATACCTCACCTTACAACCAAACCCACAGCCACTCAACCACCCTCTAAATTTGAAGTGTTGTGTTCTAGCCAACACATGAGTGTAAAACTGCCACCTGGACCAACATCTAGCCTCTTTGTAAAGGGTGAGTTTGAGGTCTGTTCAGACAGCATACTCTGTGTTTTATCATTTCCCATGACAATGAGGCAATTATAGGTTGTAGTGAGGGAATGTGACATCTGTAAAATATTTTAATATCTTATATATAATAATAAAATTGGACACTTTTTTTATAGCCCCTTCCAATGGGATAAAAACAGAAGCTGTTCCTATTTTGGAGGCCCCAAGTCATTGTGGGTACTCTGTAAAAAGGGGTCAAGATGGTACCATCAACATCCTCCTGCCTTACTCTTCCTGTCACATGACTCAGAAGGTCTGTGATGTCATTTGTTGTTATGCAAGATGTATTGCTACTCTGGTTTCATGAATATTTGTTTCTGTTAATCAGGATGGGCTGTACAGAATTATATTAAAATATCAGACACCGAAAGGGCTCATAGTTGAGTCATTGCTGTCGTGTCAGAATTTGTTCAGTCAAGGTACAGTATGAATCTTTCTTATGAGTGGGTTCAAACATTGTGACTTTCTAAAAACTTTTTAAAAACTGCATTTTTATTGTGTAGAGTGTAACGTTGCACCTGATCAGCAGTTGGTCTGTGGATCTGGGGCGTTATCGTCATCAGAGTGCCATGACAGAGGCTGCTGCTATTCTACAGACACCCAATCATGTTATTACCCCATGGACGGTGAGCTGGACAATATTAAATTCAAACAGAAACATAAACCTTAATTCAAAATTTATTGTTTAGTATTTAACAATAAATCTCAAAGTAGTTATCCAAGTATGCTTACGATTATAAAGAAAATTTGGCAACACTTAAAACTTTTATATATAATGCATTATGAAGGTATTCATAATGTACTTTAATTAGCGGTGTAATATTACATGTATTCGCCCCGAACCGTCATGCTATGGACGTCACGGTTCGGTTCATGCAGTCAGACGACCAATACAGTCATAGACGATAAAACCAGAAGGGGGCGCACGCAGTAAGAAACGAAGAACCGCCTGCTTGTTTTAAATCAGCAATTTGGGAAAGTTTCAGGTTCTAGAGTTGCTGCTGCATTGCAATCATTTCCCAAAATGTAATTTGTGTGGAATTTTTATGAAGTCTGTAAAGAGGAGAAAATACTGTACCAGGCAGATAAAGTTCGCAATGCTCGAAATCTAAGACGACGATTATGTGGGATTCTATATGTATTTCTCAGGGGAAGTGACCATCTTCAGAAATGTTTCGATGGTATTTTCTTTTCCTCTTACCTCCATATAATGCCTATCAAAGTAGTGTTTATAAGCCAGCTGCTTTGTTAGCAGCAATAACCAAGGAAACTCTATATTATTTCTCTGTTATTATATATTATATTACTCTGTTATTATTCATGAGGTCATAGATTGCATTATAAGGTACAATAAAATGCATAATATATATTTTTATAATTCATTATATAGAGAGGCTACAAGTAAAGAATTACCTATTTTTTTCAGTAGTTTTGAAAAGCGGCTGATACTTTTTTTTTTTTTTGCAAAAACTTTAAACCACAAATAATAAACCTTAAATCAAAATGTAATCATATTACTTGTATATGGTAAGAAGGCAAATTACAATTACAAAAAGTGGCTTTATATGTCAATATATTGTTGCCTGTAGTAGCATTGGGACTCAAAAGGCATGAAAAATACTTTTTTTTTTTTTTTACACTTAAAAAAAAATTATTAATATACAAAACATGTTAAACTGATAGCTGTATTTTCTTAATTGTACAACTTTGTATTTGTTTGTGTAAAGTTTGCCTTTCAAAAAATATTTCTCTGAATCAAACTAAGAACATGTTCAAGAAACATGTGTATTTTGTGTATCCCAATCAGAATGCACAGTGGATCGGCATTTTGTTTTCTCGATTCACTCATCCGCCGCGGATCCACCCCTATCCCTCGCCAGCCTCGTCACAGCTGGCGACAACCCTTGCACACCCCAAAAAGTTACTGCTGACTGGGCCCTCTTCAAGATTCCTCTGGATGAATGTGGGGTGCGCAGATATGTGAGTAGGTTCATCGCAATAAGGTATGTATCTGAGAGCATGTGTGCGTGCAAGTCTAACTGAACAGTCTCCAGGAGGTGGGTAAAACGGTCATCTACATGGTGGAGATCCTGAATAGAGTGCAGCCCCTCAGTCTAAGTTACGGCACCATCACTAGAGAGTCGCCTGTAAGGTACACATGAAAGTAGTTACACTGATACACAAAGAGCCAAGCAACATGCTGAGACTCCATGTTCCCTGCTGTCCCAGACTACTGGTTGAGTGTCGGTATTTACCTGGATCTGTGATAAGTGTGGGTTATCTGGTGAAAAGCCCCTCCCTCGGACCTTCTATCAAAGCTCAGGGGGTGTTTGGAGTTCAGCTCAGGATCGCAAAAGGTTTAAAACATTTTCTTCATATAAACCCTAGCTGAGTCTTCTCTTACATTTCATGTAATTTCAACAAGAATTTGTTGAAAAATATAAACCATTTTTCCAAGTGAAATGTTACCATGTTCAAGAAAATCTAGGCATTTGGTGACTTTTGCAACCAAAAAAGTGATTTATAAGATTTTGTGCATTAACTACAGCCTCTTTTCATTCAGACGAGCACTACATTGATTTCTACCCACAATACCACCAGCCCCTGCGTATGCTTCTGGGAAAACCCCTTTACCTGGAAGTGCGTCTGCTAAACCCTCCGGACCCCACTGCTATGCTGCTGGTGCATTACTGTGTTGCATATCCACGCTCTGCACAATCTGCCTGGATCCTTATTTATGATGGGTATAAGATGTTGTTTTAATTAAAACAGCATGAAAGCACTGACGTTTTTAGCAGTTTTATGGGAACAAGCTGAAAATGTAAATGTTGCTTTAGCCCAAAAAAATCCTCGATTAGCCTGTTTTATATATGGAATACCGTCACTTTTCAAGTTAATGCATCCTTGCTTTTTTTTTTTTTTTTTTATTTGGAGCTCTGACTGAAGGCTTTACCACACACTTTACAAACATGTGGCTTCTCTCCTGCACGAAATATAAAATTAGCCTTGTCAAAGGGGGAGCAATGAAAACATGCACTCAATATCTGGGAAATGAAAAGCGCTATACTTTGAATAGAATGCTGGTCGGAACATATTACTGCCGATTGTGGTGATTTTCTATGGTTTTGATAATGGACAAATACTTTCCCCTCCGTTTCATATATTCTAATGATTCAATCCTATTCAAAGCTTCAAATCGAAGTTAGTCTCACCGGTGTGTATGAAGGTGTGTTTCTTCATGTCGGATTTCTGGTGGAATCTCTTGCCACAGTACTGGCAGGGATATGGCCGTGTGTCCGAGTGGATCAGGAGGTGGGTGGACAGAGTGGATGAGCGTTTGAATACCTTCCCACATTCCTTACACTCAAATGTTCGTTCCTGAAATTTAAAAACTAATTTATAGTTGAACAAAAATCAGCATACAAAAATGACAATGTTTAATAAGCAAGATTTTATACTGTATATATAGATATACTTTATTCATAACAAATTATAGCTTATAAAAAAGGTAGAAACGCTTACTAAACCTACTAAATATGAGAAACAAAGTTGGAACTGGCAGAGATAAAGGAAAACGAGAGAACAATGTACACTGACTAAACCACTTACTAAGGCTGCAGTTACACTATTCAGCATCAGAGGGAGACATAACCTTTTATCGTGAAGACACAAATAACATCGCAAATTAACGGTCCTACCTTTATCCTACATGGCATCGCAGGGTCCTTGCTGTCACAGAATACCAGAGACCGTCCATGATGACTACCATGCGATCTGTACACGTGAGACTCCAGGCGAGCAAGAGATGAGAAAACCTAATGGAAAAATTACAAACAGAACTGTTCAAAGAACGACTCAGGAAATGAAAAGTTTTTCCCGTCATAGAAAGGCTTGAGGCCAAAATAAAGCGAAATACAGGCAAAGTGCTACTCAAGGAAAACGTCTTGTCTTGTGTTTCTTGGTGAGCGGCTGGTCAAGTAGGCCTAGTGGATTTGTATTTGAACAACAACAACAAAAAAAGTCTTCCAAAAATGGCCTGAAGAAAGTTTACTTCAGTGTTTCATTTGTTTTAGTGTGTTACATAAGAATATAACATTGTCTTTTGAGTTTTTTTGGGGGGGCGGGGACACAAAAAGGGCATACCTTGCCACACAAGCTGCAATGTTTTGGGCCCAAATCCCTCCGAGGACTCATCAGAGAACATTCCAGTGAACTGTCCCTGCTGTTGAGCCCTTGTATGTCTGCTATGTCTCTAGAGTTGACAGGTAACCAGTGCCCTGGAGACGGAGGAGGGCCGTACCGGAAACCGGCTGGATCTGCAGAAACCCAGTGAAGAATAAGTATTAAACACATGAGAAGATCTGAACATTTCAACACACATTTAATGCTGCAAAAGCAAAGATGTGTAGTTTTTTTGCCCATGGCTATACAAAAGTTTGTGAAGTTTTTTGCCCATGGCTACACAAAAAATAAAAAGGGATCCCCAACACTACCTCATGCATTGAAAATAATTTTTGTTGATTAACGCACCTGTTTTCCAGTCATTATTGAGACTGCTGTGTGTACTGTTTTGCTGCATGATTGGAGAATATGGTTGTATCTCTTGGCCTGATTCCTCTGGCAGTGTAGCCACTTTTATGGGGACAGACCAACCAACCAGGCCTATATAGGGCACGTCAGCGATGGGAAGAGAGGAACGAAAACCTCCCTTCCTGCTCTTTTTCACCAGAAATGAACGAGGCATAATGAAAAAAGAAAGCTAGAACCAGCGACAGGTATGATCGTCCTGCAGGACCTAAAATGGAGAGAGGAAAATATGACAACCATATATACAGGGACATGATGCATATTAAATCGCAGCATGATATATGTATTGATTTAAGTCAAGTCAAGTCAAGTCAAGTCTGCTTTATTGTCAATTCTTCCACATGTACAGCACATACACACAGAGAATTGAAATTGCGTTACTCTCAGATCCTTGGTGCATACAGATAACACTAACAGTAGAACATAAATACAGATAGATACAGTTTTAAATATAAAATACAACTATACAATTATACAAATAAGGTATTTAAATGAGAATTGAATGTTGTGCACTAGTAACCAAATTTTAATTTATGCTTATAATTCAAAATAAATTTCAGTAGGGGAAGCACAGATTCTCTTAAGTCTAAAATAATTTTTCCTATATATCTGCTCTGATTCAGCATCAGTGACTCCAAATTTTGCAGCCTTTGTGAGAGCAAAAATGCATTTCCCAAATAAAAGGATAAAGCTTTTTATTTATTTTTTTGATAATAAATGAAATACGAACTCAGGATACTAAACGGAAATGTGTTCTCATCTTGCAAGTCAGAGATTCTCAGAGCAAGTTCATGGCAGCGTATTCCTGTTGAAACACTAAAATCCCCATTATCACTTTATGAAATGAATTAGATATTACTTTGAGTTTCAGTCGAGATGAACTGTATCCAAATATGAATGTAAAAATTTCTATAGCACCTGCTATGTTATATCTACTCTGTTTTATGATGTCATGTTATAAATAGGTCTATGTTTAAAAAAAATAGATTTAGATTTAAATATTGTGGCAATTTCCAAAATAAATTACTTTAATGACAATATCTGGTGTACAGAAAATTATATATTTAACTGCATAATAAAAAATGTCAATATATTAAGTGAAGGTCTGTGTAACGCAATGTAGTGCTTTTAAATAAGAGTTCATTAAATGCTCAACGCACTACTTAAGTGAAATTTAAACTGATGATTGTTTCAGTAAATCTTGGTTGTATTGATTATCCTTCAACATTTAGTCATGAGACTGATGAAATACTAATATATGAAATTCAAAATATTAACTCTATAAATCTTAAACTTTCGTGTTTAATGGGGCAAAAGCAGACTATACTTAAAACAAATATTGAATTTGTATAAAGTTTGAAAAATAAAAAGCAAATCTAGCCGTTACTTCAAAGAATGAACGAATTGAGACTACAGTAGTGTCTTCAACTAGATTTTTCATCTATTTTTGTTTTACCACAGACAGAAAATCTTAGGGTGACATCTTACGTTGTTGATAAAAAAATAATATATATTTTCAAACCACAGATGTATTAAATGTACAATTTTGTGCAACATTTTGTACAATTTTCTGGAATGGCAAGTACAATGAGTGCTATATTTAAAAAAAAATCCCAAAAAATGTCTTTACAATTTGTGTGATTACTTCAAATGATAATTTTTTAATTTCTCCAGACCCATTTGTGATCTTGTTGATAGTAAGTGAATGTGGAAAGAGGATCTTCAGGGTGAAGACTTTGATATTACATAATGTTAAAAAATGTTTCATAAATATCTGACAGTGTGTGTGTAGGGACACAAAACGTATCATAAAAAAAGTATATTTAATCACTTCCTTCAGGATTGTTTCAAAGATCCATATTTTATTTGTAGGTGTAATATATAATTTAATCTATATTAAGTATTTAGTTACATGCTGTGAGGACTGGTGGTTTTAGGGGTATTAAGTGAAAATCACATGGTAAAACCTAAACCTATTTTCAAAACTAATGGCAGTTAACTGATTTGTATCGGTTCACTGCCACTAGTTCTATACGAACTTATCAATTTTTTTAATAAATTGCTAGAACTTACCAGTAAATGCGTCCAGGGACGGCCAATAGTTTCACGAGGTGTTTCTATAATAAAATGCACAGTAAATGCAGTATAATTCTGACTGCCGAGCTACGCTGTCGTGTCTCTGTCACTAGCAGTAATAAATCACTGAGGACAGGTGCGCGTTCCTTAAAGCGCAGCAAAACTGAAACTTCGGTAACGCGCGCTCACAGCACCGGCCGACCACAGACGCGTCAGTTTCCGCCGCGCGCTCTGACTCGAGCTGTTACAAACCAGACTTATGCTAACCGTAACTGCTGCTGCAGTGCGAAGGAAAACTATCAGCAAAATAAATCAGGGTGGTCTAATCGAAAACACAGCCTTTTCTGTTGGGTATAGGCTACATCTGAAGCACTTATTTCGTTTAGCTGTGGATGTGACTAATGAAAACCACTGTGGTGATTTGAAGTTCTCATTGCTAAAATGGCTGCAGTAGTCATTCTTTGCCAATGTAAACCATAGGTAGGCCTTACTGTGATATGGTTTTGAAGGTGTGATTATGACACATCATTCTAACTCAGATTTGCTTTTGTCCCTGAAGGTATTAATTAAACAGTCACAGACCCCAATGCAGACAGATGAAGAAGGGAGAAAGAGAAGGAAAAGTGATGAGACTGTAGAAAGACTGATGAACGTGGTGAGTGTGGTTGTGACTTTGAGGTGCAACAAGACTTAGCTCTTTTGCCCATGCCTTAAAACCATATAAATAACTGACATTAAGTCCTCACATTTAGGCCAACCAACATGACATTTACACTGTAGGAATGACAAATAGGATGAAAAGCTCAGTTTGGTTTGTCTAAAAGCTGCAGTTTGCAGGTTTATAGGTGTAGCAAGAAATTTGTATCAAATGGTAAGCACCATTCTGAGTTTTAAAAAACAACTTTTTCCACTTTAACACATCTAGAAATTTGAGATGAGAAATGAAGAAATGAAAATTCTGTCATTATTTACTCACCCTAAAGATTGAAGAATGTGGGAAACCAAACACATGCTGGTCCCTGCACTGACATCCATAGTATGGAAAAAATACGGAAGACAATGGGTACCAGCAACTGTTTGGTTACCCAATTTCTTCAGAATATCTTCTTTTGTGTTCAACAGAAGAAAAAAAAATTCATACAGGTTTGGAAGAACTTGAGGGTGAGCAAATGATGACAGAATTTTCGTTTTTGGGTGAACTATCCCTTTAAATTTGATTTATTCAATAAGAAACAAGTTAATAAACATAACAAGGTCACAAGACCAGCTGAATTTCTAACCAAAAACAATTACTTTTTCATGATGCTACATCCATGCAGTGCTTCGAAGGAACAATTTTATCAAAATGAACATTCTGTCATCATTTACTTACCATCTGTACGACTTTAGTAGTTCTGTAAAACACAAAATAAGATATTTTGAAACATGTCTCAGTGTTTTTTGTCCATACAATGAAAGTCAACGGGCTCCAATGTTGTTAGGACTCCAAAACATCTTCTGTTACACTCTGGTGGTTCTTCAGTCATTTTAGACTGAAAACTTGTACATTTTGATTTTCAATATTTAGGTATGTTTTTATATATACATACTGGGTTGCTATATATTATTTTCTAATATTTCTGTTATTTTATATAGACATAAATGCTGCATAATGTTTCTAATACCATGAATATTGTCTGTGAATATTGTCTAGTAGGCCTACCATTCACCATTTTATTACCATTTTCATTTAGCAGACGCTTTTATCCAAAGTGACTTACAAATTAGGACAATAGAAGCAAACAAAACTAACAAAAGAGCAATAATATGTAAGTGCTGTGACAAGTCTCGGTTAGTCTAATGCAGTAAACGTTAAGGTTTTTACATTTTTTATAATAGATAAAAAGAAAACAAGTAGATAAAATAGAAATAGAATAGAGAACAATAGTATTAGAGGGTCAGTTTTTTTATAATAAATAAAAAGAAATCAAGTAGATAGTATAGAAAAGGAATAGAGAATGCTAGTGTTAGAGGGTCATTTTTTTTTTAAATAAAAAGAAAACAAATAGTCAGAATAGAAATAGAATAGAGAGTGCTAGTGTTAAAGGGTCAAGGGTAGATGGAAGAGATGTGTTTTTAGCAGTTTCTTGAAGAAGGACATTCCACCAGGAGGGAATAGTTAAAGTAACACTCCACTATTTTTGAAAATAGGCTCGTTTTCCAACTCCCCTAGTGAAAGTGATTTTGTGCCTCTTTGAGATGGCACTACAATGTGCCGTTCACTTGCAGAACGCAAGCTTCTAGAGGGCACATACTGTATATGTCTGAAGTAGTGAATTTAGGTAAATTTTTCTAAATGAGGTAAATTTTTCTTTAAAATATTAAAGAATAAATATTATTGAAATAAAATACAGTCCACTAATTTTTTTTAAGTTACATGTATAGTCTTAGGCCTGTTTTGACCAACAAGGTGAGTAAAATGTTTGAAGAATTTTTGAATTTTCATCCCTTTAAAATATAAAAGTCTTTAATGCAAAATAATACCTACATGACACCAACATTTTAACTTTGCAAATGTTGTATAGGATAAATGTTTATTCATTTTTTAAATATATTTTTATCTTCAAATACAGAACACTGGATCATCATTTGATAACATTGCTATTTATATATCTTTAGTACTGTCATTCTTAATAACACAGCAGTAAAACTGTAGGAGAGAGAGGATGTGGTCTGATGGGTGTAATGCGGAGACTACTGGACATTTACAGACTGTGGAGGTAAGGCAGCTGTTGGAGCACTAGAGGAGGTGACGTCACATCAGCCTCTGTGTTATGACCTCATGCCCTCACTGGCCATTTTTTTTAACATGACTACACCTGAAAGCGTAATGTGATGTGTATGAAATATTGACCTCCGCTTTTTGGGTTGCTGTTTTGATACACACAGTGTTTGAGATAGCAGTCAAACTATATTTGAATGAAAACACTGAATACAGTAGCACATTTTCTGTATGCTTGTAACACTTGAGTGACATTACATGCGCTATATACACATATTATTTTCCCCAATTTATGCATTCATCTCCACATTTACTTATCTTGAAGAAAATGGAAGACAAAAAAAAAAAACAGTTCTGTTTGTAATGATTTAGTATACTGCAATATAAAAAATATCCTGATAATAAGAGGAACTTTAATACAATAAAGTGTTCTTTTGAACAGTGATGTTCTTCAATCTCATGCATAAAAGTGTACATTTATGCATTTTGTTTTATTTAGGTCGTCTTCTGTAATGACGACATACCTTTCATGAAACCAATCAGGGTTTCATTATGATCATTGCGTACATGGCAACCTTCAAACAACAACAACAACAAAAAAAGTGAGTGAGATAAAAACTGGCATGAAAGATGCTACAAAAAAATTATAAATAAATAAATAATAAAATAAAATTCTCTGATAACAGTATATAAAAGTATTCAGTTTCAACTGTTACAGTGACATAGTGTTTCTGAGATATGTGATAGACTTTATACAGGGAAAACTGACTCATAATACCACAAAGTACTGATATTATTATCACCGTAACATTTTTCATTCATCTTTTTTTTCTTTTCTTCCACTGATTAGAACATAATTTCAGCCATTCTTAAGGTGATTGAAATTAGAGCTCAATGTGAGACAGAAATGTGTTTGACCATATTAGCCACCCGCTGACAATCTAAAAATGGTATGTTCCTGCTCAGGTAACAATAAATGGGCTTGCCAAAGCCTTTCCAATAAGACCGACTTCTTGTTTTAAACAAAATCAACTCACTAAACAAGTTAAGTTAATTTCAAAACAGCCATGTCTCTTTTCCTATTAGCAAATATTCTTTAGAAGCTAAAACTCACACCACAAAACCGTTGTGTTTTGTAATCGAGTTGTGAGGAAAGCTTCCTTCGACTATTTGAAATCCAACAGTCCCAAACCAGAACAAATGTTGGTACAACAACTGCTTGACAAAGTTTTCCGGCTTCAGGGACCCTCTGAGGTTTCAGCAAGAAACGAAAGGTGCAAAGCAACTTCCTTTACTTGCTGCTTTTCTTGTAAAGAACAGAGTTTATAAAAGGTACACACTTCTGAAACTGGTTTTGTGGATGGTTTTAAATGTTACAGAGGTCACTGGGGAACAGGAAGGATGTTCTAAATCAGAGTAAAGCCCTAGTAGAGACGATGCTAGAGAGGTTTAGTCTTTTAGTTTTGTAGTGCAATATGAAACTATATTAAAGGGGTCCTATTATGCTTTTTCACTTTTTCAACTTTAGTTAGTCTGTAATGTTGCTGTTTGAGCATAAAAAAGATCTGCAAAGTTACAAAGCTCAAAAGTCGATTTCAAAAGGAGATATTTTATTTAACAGAAATCACTTTTCAAAAACTACAACGAACGACTCATTTGGACTACAACGCATATTTTCCGGGATTTGTGATATCACAAATATCGTCGAATGGGTCGAGACCTGGTTGAGCTGCACTAGAGAAGGCAACGAGTGTTATCACTATGTCGGAGACGCACTAGCTTTCCCTAGGCAGACGAACTTAGAGTGGTTACAATCATCCGGGTTAAAATCGCGCTCAAATTGATTTGATTTTGACGCAATATTTACACTGAAGCTTGCAGGCGGCTATGGTAAGGGGCATGACATTTCCAGACCAG